TTAACACGACTATTAGACTTAGCACTTTGCACATTTGACGTCGTTGGTCAAAGTATAATCTATTTATAATATAATATAATATTATATTATACTATTATTTTTAAAAATTATTTTTAAATTCAAAATTATATAAAACCAACAGACAAGTTAGTTGGAATTTGGCCATTGAAAGTTTGAATGTTTGGCCTTGGGAAATTGACCATTGGGTTTTCAAAACATTTGATCGCTGAAAGTTGACTATTGGGATTTCAAAAGGTTTGGCCGTTGAAAATGTGACCGTTGGAAAAACTCAAGATTTGCTTTCTATAGTTTGTTGTATTCTGAGAAGAGAATTCACTTAACTTGAAGCGAACTTAGATTACTAAGTGGGGCAGATTTTTCTTAAGTAGTCTTCACCCGTCAGAGTTTCTCTCCTTTGATATTTTTACTAACATTATTTGCATGTGTGATTTGGTTGGTTGCTTAACTGTGTTAGTTGGGGAACGTGCAATGCAGCACTTTTGTTGTTTGATTAGAGGTGTAATCAGATTCCAAGAATTTGAGAGCATAATTTCGTAGAATGCAATAGAATACAAGACAAGTACGTGGGAATACATCATAACTATATGATTGTATAAAGGGTAAATCACAATGATAAAAACCTAAACTTGCTACATTTTTTATTATAGAGTTTTTCACTTGCATGTGGGTGTTCAATTGTAGTTCTGATACCAACCTTGTGATTGATTAGAGGTGTAATCAGATTTTCTCTCCTTTATTATTATATAGTTTTTCACTTGCATGTGGGTGTTCATTTTGTAGAATGCAATTATAGTCTTTCTTGTTCTTGTTTCATGGGATTTAAGCATAATCAATCTGTTTGCTTTCTAGAATTTGATTCGTTTTTTGTGTTTGTTAGAGTTCAAGTTCTAGGGGTTTCTTGATTTTTCAGCTATCCTTTTAAAAGGAGTATTATTTAGCATTTTTCACTTGTTGGTTTTATTTACTTCAATTTTTAAAATGGAATTCTTTTCAGTGACTTCGTATTGTAGATAACATTAATAGCATCGAATGAAGTAGTGAGAAAACACCCACAAAAAGGAAATAAAGAGTAAGAAGTTATGATACAGAACATGGTAGCTTAGTAGGTTACCAATGAAGTGGCTGGTCTATTGGGAATTCATTATTATGGTCTTCATTATTGCTAGAGCCATCTTCACATAAAAGGTGGTGTGACTATGATCCTATGCAACATGAAGCTCGATGTTACAAAAATTTGTGACCTCAACATGAAAGGTTTTAATTTGCTGCCAATTTCTGAGCCTACAAAAACTATGTAAGTTTGTTGCAATACCTGAGGGTTTGTTGGAAAAACTATTTTATTGTTCTTGCAATTTAAATATTTAGCTAGGAGTCACTCTTCCTGAATCCAAATGAGTCTCGGGAAAAGGGGGAATTAATAGATTGCTTTGGAAGTTATATCAAGGAAGAGGTATGTGTAATATGGACGGTGTAGGGCTGTTAAACTATGCTTATGGAAGGCAGGAGTTCCATTTTTCCAAAAGTCAGCCTTTGGCTTCCATATTTTTTTATTTTAAATGCTGAGCATAACCGACTAGGACTTTGGGAAACCTGTTTTATCTTTTCTTAATTCTGTAGTTAGCTTATGCTGGAGTTTAAGGCAATAACTTAAGACATATAAATTGTATTAAATTGATAATAATGTCACCTGATACACTTAATTAATCTGATACACACAACTTTGTAAAGAAGTTTTTTCCCTTTGGGAAGGTGATCTATGGTAGCAGACAATCTCAGGCTTGTTTTGGGTCCAGTAACAGTCTAATCTCAGATTGGATAGTTTCAGCAGTTATATACTTCAAATTATGGGCATCCTACTAAAGTCATATGTTTACAAAATATTTAAATTAAGAAGCAATATATTTAGACTTTAACCTTGAAAGTGATTCAACACAAAATCGTTTTATCAGATTTATGATCAACATGAAATTCCAAAACTCCTTTATTAAGTGCAAAGTTTCTTGTATGAGAAATACACCAGTCTGGTGATGCTTCGAGTAACAACCTTCAGAGGATCAATCTTGATTTTGTTTCTTACACTGGGACGTTAAAATATGAAGTTGGATCAAAGAAGGATTAATTAATTTGGAGAAGCAGACCGGCTTGTATGAGAGGACAGAATCACTCAGCAAAGGACAATATCTGTATGCTTCAAAATGTTTGGTTTGCACAGTTAGCAAGGCCAAGGCCCTCCCAAAATTTCTCAAGATTAAGTGGAGTCCTTTAGTTTTTTTAGATATATAGAAAAGGATCCTCACAATTACATCACAGAAAATTGTTAATTTGTTTGCTAAAAAGGAGGAAGGTGGAAGTTAAGCCCGAAGTTGGAGCCTCTAAAATGAACCAAGTGTTACGAGTTTAACGGAGTGTTATTTTGTTATTGTTTATGGCTATAGTATTGAAAGATGAGCATCATATAAGATGAAGCATCGTTAAAATGGTGTAATTCTTTTTCAGGGCATCAGTAGTAGTGATTTATTGGGATGCTTTATTCTGGCCCTTGTAAGCTTTTTCAATTTTAATCAGTAGTTTGAAGTCGTTATCAGTTCAGTCTAATTTTACTATGTTGTTTCTTATCGTGGCAGATACTGATAGAATGGAAATCATCGGTGAAAACAACTTCGCAGAGCAAAAGGCTCACCATAGATGCAGGCGCAAGAAGCAGCATGATTGGAGGCTAATTGCTTCCTTGAGATAGAACGTGACTCTCAAAGCAAATCATGCTTCTGTTTTTTTGTTAATATTCATTACTATAATTTTGTTTCAGCATCAAGAATAATAGTACTATGGTGCCCTCCAATATTAATTATGGTAGTTTATTGTGTTACAAGGCATGATGATGTCTCTCCGTGGGTGGATGTCAATGTGTTTCCAATGTACTTGGATTGTCTTGGTTTGTCTGTGAAGTTTTGCGGCTGTGGAACCATGAATATTAGTTTCTTTTCTTGCATCTTCTTTTGATCTCAAGTCGAATCCGTGAAAATAATTCCCTAATTTCGTGTTGAGTGTGCCATTGATCCGTGCGCATCAATATTTGTTCGTACAAGTCTCGGGCAAAGGCATGTTGTCCATCAAGTTACTAAATCTTGACGTTTTGCACTCGTGTTGTTTCTGGTCATTGTTAAATCCCTGATATTTTGCCGGTGATTATCGATAGTGGTGATTATCGATAGTGGTTAGTGTCGTGTATGATTTTTCTGTTCTAGATGTCGTTTGCCATGCGTCTGCAATCGCCTTTTTGACTGGGCTTATGATTCATAGTTTGGAAGGTAAATTGAAATTTGATTATGATATTAACCGATTCATGATAGATTTGATATATATGATACAATTGATTGGATTTGTAATATAGGGTTATTAGATTGATTAATCGCTAATTTGACGATACGTAAGTGTGTTTAAATATTTTTGATATTTGGTTGCGGTCTAGAGGTTAGCGCGTCCATGAGAGGAATTCTCTCTCTTGCTGATATGATCATATAGTCGCAAAATTTTAAATCTAAATAAAAAAACAATTGTAACTACAACTACATACGATACCAGTAACAATAGTGACAATTACACCCAACTGTATACAAAAAACCAAACATACGCTACAGTTCACATGGTCAGATGCAAATTGATCTCCATATTTACTTTCTTTTTTGCTTTTGGGGGGGGGG